ACCCGAGAGACCCGTTCTCGGTCTGCCGCGTGTTGTGTGCACTTGCATCGGCCCCCCGGATCCCCCCCTCGGCCGCCCGTGATCCGGATGGACCTCGCTAATTGCCCCAGGTGTACGACGAGTACGACGTCAAGGTCATTTGGTGGCTGCCTGGCCCGGCCAAGTTAAGGCGACCGTCTGCTTGGGGAGAGCGGGGTAGGCAGGGGAGACTAGTTACGTAATCGGCGGTAGTTCCTAGAAAATATCGCAGTGTATGTGTGTGGGTCGCAGTTAAAAGTACGGTGGAGATTAGGTGGTAGTACCAGGTGGTCGAACGAGGAAATAGGAGACGTAGAAGGAAGGAAGAGTCTGTTAGCAACACTTTAGTGGAGTGCCTTAAGCCCTTGTCACAACCCTTGTAGGATGCAAACCTCGGAATTCAATTACTGTGAAGGAATTTTGATAAAACTTTTTGCATTGTATTGTTAATAAGATATATTACAAAGTTTACCCTTTTAAATTCGTTGATTTCATTTTAGTATTTAAATAAACACACATATACAAATGCATACATACAAGATAACTCCGTGTCCCGAAAAAGCTCTGTATCAGGATTCCTGTTTGAGATTTTCACTCCAAACTTCTTACAAACTATAACTCACCCTGTGTATATACAAATATACATCAAAGATATAGTTTGCAGGGTGAGTCAAATATATTTACTGGGTGCAATCAACAGGGTGAGTCAAATATATTTTTACACATAAATTTTAGTTCAGTGAATTTGCTATAAAATTCTAGTTCCAAAAATACCTTAATACCATAGAGTATCCTGAGTGGTTTTTGAATTATGACCACTTTCATGAGGACGTCAATCTAGACGTCTAGGAAACTCCGTGTTGCGAACAAAGCAAGCTATAAAAATATACTCCTTCGGAAATTCCCGCCAATAAAACCTAAAGTCACGACGAAAGCATGATTCCCAGAATAAAATGTGGCTGCAAAATGGTCATGTACTCGTACATCACGTACCATCCGGGACAACTGACCATTTTACGGGTGTAAAAAGGAGTCTAAGGCAGTCTCTCACCGACAAGGGTAGTACCGTCAACACCCGCGATCGTACCCTGTTACGATTTTCAAAGTTTTCACGCGGTAGTGAAGAAAATCATAAAGTTTCTGCACCAAGAAACAACGAAAATACGCCAGTTATTTTACGTTTCACACTGTAAGTTATTTTACGTGTCATACACAAGTTTTACGTTTCTGCTCCAAGAAATTCTAAATTTTCCAAGCCAGAAAAATTAAATTATTCAGTAAACGCGGAAGTTTAGTGCTAGGTAACTACTTTTTCCGAAATCAGCATTTATTAGTAGTATTAAGCTAGGTATAGTTTTTCCTAGACTATAAGCTTCCGAACAGTGAATAGTGAGTGCTACAAAGTGTGTAGACCGACCAAAAGTGTGTGAAATCGAGGTAACGAATTTTGAAGATATATTCATGACAGAGTTTAAATGACAATTTTTAATGAGAGTGATTTGGAATATTTACATGTAAATTTTTTTATCATCAAGTGTTAGTTATATTATATTTTTGATTTTATATTTTCAAAGATCTTGTAACAGATAGTATAAATTCTTTTCTAGCATAAAGACTATGAATGAGAGAGTGTAAGGATACTAGGATCACATATCCTAGTATGTCTGTACGGCAGGAATGACGAATCCTGCTCCGCACACTCCGATCCGTATGAGAACTTCTAATCGAGACGATCGACTTATTGTAAGTATATCGCTAAGAAACCGCCGCGGCCGCGCCGTTCGTCAGCTTTTCAAATTTATAATGAATTGCATCTAAGGAAGGTACATATTAACTAACGGACTATAAGACGAAGATAAATGAAGAAAATCTTATGTCAAGAATGCCTGCTTCGGGACCAGAACTTACTAGATCTATTGCCTAGGACCAAAAACAAAGACATGGTCTTATTATAAAAATTACGAAAAAATGTTGTCAAAAGCGAATATCTCCAATAAAAATAAAGATAATGAGATGAACCAAAAAGCAAACTATCGAGAAAGGATATATCTAGATGATAAAATGGTTTCTAAATTTCTTGCTGTTTTAAACATATTCCATAGGGTGTTTCAAACTTTCACCAAAATATAAACATATTGTTTTCCCTCGTATACTTAACAGATAAGGAGTTTCATTATTAATTTAGAAAGAGATACTAAAAAGTCAAATAATTTGGCTACATACTGCTTAAAAAATCATCAAAATCGGCCCACTAGAACAAAATATATTAAACTTTAAATTACATCAAAATTTTAAGGTGACCATTTTTCGTGCCGGTCAATGTATTTCAAAAACTATACATTTTAGTCATATACTTTTCTAATGAAACTCGCCTTTATTTTTTTACTAGTTACCTTTATTTTTTTACTACCAAATCAGTTAAACAATATGTAGGTGGCGCCCTCTCCAAGTAGGAGTCATATTGTTGATGTCAATATGACTCAGAAAGAAGACTCCTACGAAATCAAATTTCCCATGTCAAAAAACTCCGAGAAACCAATTTTCATCCAAATATTGACGTTACTTCAAAAATTATTTGAAAAAAATCGGAATAAAAATGAAATTTCTACACCCTGTTTCTCCGAAACTAGACATTTTAGGACATACATTTATACGAAGTTTTTTACTTATTTTCCTATTAAGTTTCTGCAATACATAGGGGACTTTTGCTGCAGTTTGGGACTATGTTTATATAGATTTTAGGGTCCACTATTAATGGAAATCATTAAGTAATTTTGTTTTTAAATGGATAAGGCGGGTTTTGCAACTTGACGTTCCAATTAAATCTCGTATCGACATCGATAATTACACCCGTCCCCAATCGCGAATCTGTCGATACGCTCGTCTTTTTTTCTGTTCTTCCGCCGCCGCACATAGGTCATTTTCGCCAATTTAGGCGGTAATAAATAATGCCTTTAAAATTTAAATTATTTTCTAAAACAGAAATAATTTGTTTGGTAAGAAAATAAATAAATAGGTGGAATAATGATATTTTGTTTCATTTTATGCTTGTACAGGGTGTCTTACGAAATATATTATTTTTTTTTTCATTTTATTATATCGAATCCAAACAAAAACTGTAGTTCCTTACTTTTTTGTAAGTGAATTTATTAGCATCTAGAAGGTTTACAGAAGATGTACTGTATTAGTAATTGAAAGTAAAAATTAGCTTGAACAATGAAAAAAAAACAACCTAAAACATTTAACAAATATAAATAAAATGATAATAAAACTATTTTACTAGAGAAATTTATGTAACAATAATATTCAATCATCAATAATGATCATCATCATCCTGACAGCAATAATGTAACTGAACGAAGTACCTGAAAAGAGACTTAAATTTACGCACTAACATTCTGCATTTCTATTATCTCTTTTCAATGACGAAGGCATGTGCAAATGTATTGAATCTTCTATGTAAGACAAGAGTTGATATGTTGAGTAAAATTCTGGAGATAGATAAATTTAAAAAAAAATACACGATGTATATCATTGACTGAGAATACTTATTAGTGCGTCGCAAAAGTGGCTCACCCCTATAACTTTTTTATTTTTTCACATAAAAAACAAGATTTGGTATGTTAGTATATGACATAAAATAGGATTGATTGACGTATTCAGTTGTTTCTGGTCACTTCCTCACTATTGATTTTTAAATGGGACCTATGATGTTTTTTTACTTTATTCGATAGAAAATGACACTCTGAATAGAATAACATATCATATGTCAACTTTTGACGTTTTCGCTTTAAAAAAATCGTATTTTAAATTTTAATCTAGAGTGCCATGGTTGTGTTAAAAACACTAATTATTTTTATTCAAGGAGCCTTGGAAAAATAGATTTGATCGTCTAATGTTTTTCGTGTCTTGTACAAATCGTATTTTTAAGCATATCTCTCATTTTTTTCAAATGGAACGAGGGTGGCTCATTAGCATATTTTGAAAAATCATTTTTTCACAAATAATTTGGTACAACACACTTGGTATTTCGAGTCAAATTATTGTTGTTACAATTTCAAATAAACCATATGAGAAAATGCCAAAAGTTGACATATGATATGTAGTTCTATCCAGAGTGTCATTTTCTATCGAATAAAGTAAAAAAATACCAAAGGTGCCATTTAAAAATCAAAAGTTGTGGTCATTTCCGGTATAACAGGAAGTGACTAAAAACAATAATTGAATACGTCAATCAGTCCCAATTTATGTCGTATACTAACATGCAAAATATCGTTTTTTTTTATCTGAAAAAATAAAAAAGTTATAGGGGTTAGCCACTAGTCTGTCCAAAGACAGGATTCCTGCCAATTGTGTCTGTCATTTTAATTCACAAACAAATTATATTTTCTGTCATATTTCTGCTGTCATCTGTCGAATTCTTCCCTGGTTCTTCAAACATACTGTACCTCCATTTTTATTAATATAGTTTCCTACATCTTTCCAGAAGATGTAGCAAACCGTAGTGCCAAATATGCTGCGCGATTCCGACGATCACAAAAATCTGCTTCAGTAAAGATACTTTATAACGGGATAATGATTCTACACGTAACACACTTCAGAAATATATGGCTCTATTCATTGGCATATCCCTAACACGTACAGGGGCGCATATACGGGAGGGGTAATGGGGGTAATTACTCCTCCCAGGACGAAATTTATAAATAAGAAAATCTGGTATAAAATAAAATTGTCACAAAATAAATTAATAATATCAATCAAAATAGAAATCCAGAACAATCTACGTTTATTTTTTTCCATAGTCACACAATAATTTTGAGCGAAATTTTAATTTAAATCTATTAGTTTATTTAAGTATTGCCACTACCCCTCCCAGACTCAATCTCTGGATGCGCCACTGAACACGTATAACAAACATTCTTGTACTTACATGTAATGAACTTAGGCAATGTAATGTAATGAATTTCTGATTTCGCATTTAGGGTCCTCAAGGTGTTCCAGGCCTACCCGGACCTCAAGGTTTAAAAGGGGACTCTGGAAGCCGTGGTTTTTCAGGCCTACCAGGTAGAAAATCCATAAAATATCTAGGTACCGTCATATAAGAAGTATTCTTTTAGGTTTACCAGGAGAAAACGGTGAAGCAGGCCCGCCTGGTCCACCCGGAACAGACGGAATACCTGGGCTACAGGGTGAAAAGGGTGAAATGGGATTTAGGGGATTACCAGGAATCGATGGTCTTACAGGGCCTCAAGGTCCACCAGGTCCACAGGGTATAGCTGGTCGACCTGGGCAGCAAGTAAGTTATACCTCTATCCTGGTCATTCTAAATTCATGGACTGGATAATAATAATAATAACGTATATTAATAAAGAATACAAACATGTAGAAATAACACTAATAGTGTATTAAGGTATCTGTTCTATGCGGCCGGATTTTTCATGCAAAAGTGTATACCGTCCAAATAGACGTTTGGAATAGTAGATACAGGGTGGCTCGATTAGTGCGAGGAAGTCCAATCATACTAGAGATCCAACTATCGTCGTTGTCGAAGATACGAAAAAAGTTAAATACAGATGTTGCGTGGCTAAAAAAGGGCACATCCTAAAAATATATTTTGTTGTATACAGGGTACCCCAAAAAGAGGTATCATAAAGTTTTAATTTTTTTTAAATTGCACCGTCTATTTTTCTATACAGATTCTGGATTCAGCATAAAATTTTGCATATGCTATTTCATATTTACTAAAATTTTGTTTAAAATCTTACATCAGAAAAGTGCTTATAAAAACTGGAGTGAATCCAACTTTGTTTTTTTTTCTTTAAATCATTTATTTATGACCTTTTATCAGTACAAGTAAATTGTAAACAAGTACCAAGGACTAAGAAAATAATACATTTCAACAGTAATAACAAAATTATTAAAATCATTCAACTTAATACTTATATCCAAAATCCAAGGATAGCAGAATACACCAGCGAAAAAAAATTTACATCATCTTTTACAGTGTAATTTTTTATACATATACAACCGTAGTGTGACCGTAGTGCGTACCGTAATCCGTAATGCAACACACTGTGTATGTTATTTTTCTTTTAGATGCAAAATTAAAAAATTAACATTTTTTGTATTTAAAGTGTTCCTAAATTTTTAACGGTTTTGCAGATATCCATCGTATTATATATATTACATATGGCTCTTTCAACAGTTAATTTTTATCAAAGCTACCTATAATGATCTTTGTCTGGTATTTTACCTTTAAAAACTCCATATGTAATAAAATATAGCAAATATCTGCAAACCGCTAAAAATTTAGGAACACTTTAAATATACAAAAAAAAATCATTTTTTAATTATGCATCTAAACGAAAAATAATATACAAGGTGTTGCATTTAAAAAAATAGGGATATAGCATTTTTTTAAAGAATTGCTATTTTGACGACACAATAAAAAATACCCTGTATGGGATAAGGTAAATTTTTCTTCGCTGATTTATTCTGTTACTCTTGATGTTTAGGAAAATATAGCTAAGTGTCAATAAAATTATATTCACTCCAGTTTTTAACCAATTTTCGGGTATAGTATTTTTAACCAAAGTTTTAGTAAATAAGAAATAGAATGACAACATCGCATAATGCTTCAAATAAAAATAGTGTACTATAATATGCAGGATTTTATGCTGAATCCAATTATGTACAGAAAAAAGGATGTGCAATTTAAAAAAACTTAAAACTGTATCATACCATTTTGGGACAGCCTGTATACAACAAAATATTTTTAGGGTATTATATATATGGGTATAGGCACCATTATAAACCATGCAACATCTGTATAAAACTTTTTTCCAGATATTTGTCAATTGGCCACTCTGTATTACAACTACAGTTGGACCATTAATATATCAACAGACCATACATTTAGAATAACCAGATGACTGGTGTTTATTTATATTTTAACTACAAATTGTATTTCTCAAAGGGGCTGATTGGAATTAAAGGCGATGCAGGCGCACGTGGTGCTGCAGGGTTAATTGGCGAACAAGGATATCCAGGTCCCCCAGGAATTCCTGGGCTGCCTGGATACAAGGGTGAGAGGGGAGACGATGGCAAGGATGGTTTTCCTGGCACACCAGGTATATCAGGACCCAAAGTAAGTAACACAAATATTTACACATCTATACACTTAATTTTCTGAGGCTAAAGCTTGATTTTCATGCATCCGTTGTCCGACGATGATGATAGCGATTTATTGGTTGATTAAAGACTTCGATTGGTTAACCGTTTCTAACCAATCGAAGTCTTTAAATTCAACCAATAAAATTAATATCGTATGATCGTATCATCGGATAACGGATGCATGAAAATCAAGCTTAAGTCGAGGGCTAAGTTTATGTTTTGAGTTTCCTTGTACCTATAAGGCTTTTCGTCGTGTTTAAACAAAAGGCGAGAGTAATCTCAAAAGATTCATGACCTTATAGGTATTTTTTTACTTAATTTACGCGATGTTCATTCAATTATTACATACTTAAATTATCTGTAAAATTTTATGAATTTTGATATTAAACACTCTAGCCCACGGCCACACAGAAAGCGTTTTTTGCGTTTTTAGCGTGAAGCGTCTTTAGCGACTAAAACAAAATAACGGGAGTATATAGGAGTGGCCACACCAAAAGCGTGTAGCGTTCGGCGTTTCTCGCAAAAAACGCAAATGAAAACAAATCAGTTTGTTTTCTGTAGCGTCTTTAGCGTTTTTTATGAGACCCCGTCATAGGCGGACGTTATATTTAATAATACAATAAAAATAAATTAAATAGTATGCATTTTTTTTTCATTTTAGGGTATTATCTAAAAATATTGTTATAAAGAACATCTACTGTTTAGGAAGATTCTATTAAATTCAAAAATTTGAAGGAACTGTTTGAAAAAGTGTAGTTTGAAATGTTGAAAAAGTAATAAATTAAAGGATATTTTCTTACGCGTAAAAATATTTTTTTATGCGTAAAGTGTTTTTTTCTGCGTAAAAAGGTTTTTTTAACAGAAACAATAAGTTTTTGACGCGTAAAAATAGTTTTTACGTGTAACAAATTGTTTTTTATACGTAAAAATAGTTTTTACCAGAAATAATAAGTTTTTGACGCGTAAAAAAATAATTTTTACGTAACAAATAGTTTTTTACACGTAAAAAATATTTTTTTTTGGGGTAAAAAAGTTTTTTTACCAGAAACAATAAGTTTTTGACGCGTAAAAATTAGTTTTTTACGTGTAACAAATAGTTTTTTACACGTAAAAAATATTTTTTTTTGCATAAGAAAGGTTTTCTGCCAGAAACAATAAGTTTTTGACGCGTAAAAAAAGAGTTTTTTACGTGTAACAAATATATTTTTAAACGTAACAAATAGTTGTATACGCCTAAATATAGTTTTCTACCAGTAACAAATAGTTTTATACGCGTAAAAAAATAGTTTTCTACCAGTAACAAATAGTTTTATACGCGTAAAAATAGTTTTTTACGAGTAACAAATGTTTTTTTACGCGTAATAATTTGATTCACTTTTACAAAATTTGTATTAAAATATCAATATTTTCGATAAACACGTGGACTGCTCACAAATACACGTCGCGTCACTACGTATTTCTAAGCCGTTAACACGTTTCGTTACAACGAACTTGTGTGTCAGGGCCGTCTCACTGGCTCGTATGTCACGGCCTTGAATTTTTACTCCCAGCGCGCGTAACGAAGTTTCACTCCAAAATGTCTCATAAATCATGTCCTAAAATTGCATTAGCAACTAGAGATATTTACTATTCTATTATATAATTATAATTATTTATTATATTATATTATAATTATAACAAGTATTAACCACAACACTACAACATAAAAAAACTATACACATATAAACTAAAATTTGTAAAATAAATGGCAAAAAATAAAATAATAATTATTATTTTTACACACCACTGGCACTAGCAGTAGATTGTGTTTGTCTCCGAATATATGCCCCGGCCCGTCCACCATTCAATCCCAGCATCTTTTATCTTCGTCTATTCAACGCTAACGGTGCTGATCTCGCATATCTCTTTCTCACAGGATTGATTGTTGGACGGGCCGTCCAACAATCACGTCCTTTAAAGTCATAGGCTACTGGTCAGCTGACTGGCGTCAAGTGATGTAAAACCATAAATCTAGCCATGTTATATTGTGACACTTTATTCAAGTGTCACAAGCAGTATGTTATCGATCATTTCCAAGTCAACTTTGCGCTGTTTTTTTTCGATCATATGGTATATTATTAATAATATCAACTATCATTATTAAACTCTAAGCAGGCAGTATTTATAATATAGGAAACTCAAATAATACGTTTTCTGACAGATGGAAATAAATTGTCTGACTGTTTGACACTTAATGTCAAAAGAAGCTAGATAAAATCAAGAAAAAAATACGTTAAATTAAACTAAAATAACTTCAAAACAATTTATTTGGGGTATAGGAACATGTATACTCAAAAAGTAACGAATTGGAAAATCTTTTCACTAGTGAAATAAAAAAAGTGGGTTTCTATTTGAAAAAAATTATTTATGATAATTTTTTAATCGCTCAATCCCATGTCAGCTAAATTTTTTTGACAGGTAGTTTTTTTCGTCCAAAAATTTTGAATATTTTTTATCTCAGAAACGGTTAATGTTGGGTATAGAGTGTTTAACATCAATATTCATAGAATTTTAAAAAGAATTTAAGTATGTAATAAAAAAGTCGCTGTCAACTTCCGGTATTTCCGGAAGTGCTGCCATATTGGAAATATCTTTAATCGATAGATCTCATTGCAAAACAATGATGTGCAAATCTCCGATCTAGATATTGTGGTTCTCTAGAAACTTATAATGCACGCTCAGCCTTGGACACCTTATATAATATCATTTAACAAGTTATTGGCTTTGCAGAGTTTATACATTTTACTAATAATGTATAAACTGTTAGACCTACCTATGGACCAGTTAGACCTACTAGATATAATATTGTAAAATCCTAAAATTAAAAAATTGGCGCTTATCAAGTTTTTTCCCATGACCATTCAATTGGTGTCCATCAGTGGCGGACTAGGGGGGGGGCGGGAGGGTCGGTCTGGCCCGGGCCCCGTCTTTTAGGGGGCCTCCGAATCTTAATAAGTAATTTTTTATTCAACTGGCAAACAAGGCCAATATGTGTTCAGTAGTTATAAAGCAGTTTATAGGTGGAGTATACAAACCATACGTATACGCCAACTATAAACAGTATAAAGGGAAGCAGATATTTACTTAATTATCAATTATCAGGCCCCAGTAATTGTCAATGGCATTTTCTATTTAGGAAATTAAAGCAAGGGGTGATTTTCTTTGTTTAAAATATCGAATAATTATTATTTTTTATATATTTTGAGACTGAATTTATTTATTTTAAGAGAATTTATTTTTTTATTTAGCTTTTAAGTTATTTTTCAATGGTTTCATTATTTATTTTTACTAAATAAACATTTTAAATTACAACCAATGCACAGCATAACTTGTATTCTAGCTTCATTACTGATGATGAGCAGTGAAGTCTTTAGTATAACGGGGGCCACGGGCCTGAGACAGCGAAGGGCCCCTCGGATCTTGGAGGACTTACAAAATCGCGATATTTTGTCGCGGTATTTCCTTGGAAGCATTTTTAAGAAAAAAATATTTAAAATTTTTGGACGAAAAAAACTACCTGTCAAAAAAATGTGTACAGCCTAAAAGTCAAATTTAGTGATTATCACAGCCTTGTGACATAAAGAAAAGACATGTGGCTATCTATTTCAGAAACTAAATTATTCAAATGTCATATATTAATGGCGGTAGCTGTCATGTTATTGAGCGATTAAAAAATGATCATAAATATTTTTTTTTCAAATGGAAACCCACTTTTTTTATTTCACTAATGAAAAGGTTTTCCAATTCGTTACGTTTTAACTAAACATATTCCTATACCTAAAATAAATCGTTTTTAAGTTATTTAAGATTTAGTTAAAAAAAACATTTTTCTTGATTTTATCTAGCTTCCTTTGACATTAAGTGTCAAACAGTCAGACAATTTATTTCCATCTGTCAGAAAATGAATTATTTGAATTTCGTATATTATAACTACTGCTGCTTGTTTAAAAAGTGTATTTATATAAATATATCTCGTATTTTCGTTCTTTAGTTACATCTAATAGTTAATATTTTAATAATATGTATACCGTACGATCGAAAAAAAAACAGCGCAAAGTTAGCTTGGAAATGGTGATCGATAATATGCTGTCATAGGCTACTGGTTAAAATCACGAAAAATATAGGCTTTAAAGCTAAATCTTAAATGACTTAAAAACGATTTATTTTAGGTACAGGAACATGTATAGTCAAAAAGTAACAAATTTTAAAAACGAAAGTAACGAAAGCCTTTTCACGAATGAAATAAAAAAAGTGGATTCCATTTGAAAAAAAAAATGATTTATGATAATTTTTTAATCTCTCAATTCCATGACAGCTGCGGCCATTATTATATGACATTCGGACAATTTAATTTTTGACATAGATAGCCACATGTCTTCTCTTTATGGTACAGTGGCTGTGGCAATCACTAAATTTGACGTTTAGGCTATATACATATTTTTGACAGGCAGTTTTTTCCTCCAAAAATTATAAATATTTTTTTTTCTCAAAAACGGTTAACGTTAGGTATAGAGTGTTTAATATCAAAATTCATAAAATTTTACAGAAAATTTAAGTATGTAATAAAAAATGGGGTCACCCATTTAAAATAAGAAAGTTGCTGTCAACTTCCGGTACTTCCGAAAGTGCCGCCATATTGAAAATATTTTTAATCGATTGATCTCATTGTGAAACAATGATATACACAAAATCACGTATCTAGATATTGTAGTTCTCTAGAAACTCCTAACGCAGGCTCAGCCTGGGACACCCTGTATAAATACTTGAATTTTGTCAACCATTATACATTCATACGTCATTCAATTTTTACAAAATCTGCAAAAGTATTTCATTATCTAAACAGACCGGGGGCCACATTTATCTTCGCCGCCCCTTCTTTTTCCTTCGTTTATGAACATAATTCTTTGACACTATATTTTCACCAGGGCACTCCCGGAGTACCAGGATTGCCAGGCCTCATGGGAATAAAGGGCGAGAGTGGTAAACCAGGGCCGGCAGGCCCACCGGGTATTCCCGGGCCTCCCGGTGAAGTCATCAGTGTACCTAGCGAACAAAGAATCTATGGTAGAACTTTGCCTGGACCTAGAGGACAAACTGGAGCTCCCGGCACTGTAAGTGTTCCTCAAATATTAATCAGAAGTGTCTAGTCCTAGCAGTCAACTATTAAGCTTGACCAATCAGGTTGGTTAGCGTGGTTATTTCGAGTGTGTTAATTCATTTGTGTTTGTAAAAAACTCTAACGTGATTGGTCGGGCTTAACAGTTGCCTGGTAGGGCTAGACACAAGTACATTAATCTAAAATAAAATAGTTACTGTCACGTGTATCTACAAATGGGGTGTCGAAAATAAAAATATATACAGGGTGGTCCGAACTGTATTCCGGAAACTTCGGCAGCATAATATTCTGCAGACAAAAATATTTTTAATGCTTAGTTTCGGAGATACAGGGTAAAGAAATTTTATTTTTATTTCAATTTTTTCCATATAATTTCTGAAGTAACGTCAATATTTGGATGAAAATTGGTGTCTGGGAGTTTTTTGACACGAGAAATTTGATTTTGACGTCAATATGTGACGTCAAAATCTGATTTTGTTTGAAAAAATATACATTTCTATGACTTTTTACTTAAAAAATGTATCTTGGTAAAAATCGCTACGTGCAACAACTGTTCTCGAGATATTTAGAATGGAAATAGTAAATACATGTCATTATTGACAAAAAATAAACACGTTGAGTTATTTGACTGAAATAATTAATTTGGAAAATTTTTATTTTTTTTTAAATTAATCATAAGTTTTTCTGCGAAAAATTTATGATAAAACAGTTTCTGTTGAACTTTTGGTACAAACACATTTCAAATTTATGATTTATTCAGTCTAATAACTATTTAGTCAACGTATTTAATTTATGTCAATGATGATAAGTATTGATAATTTCGATTCCAAATATCTCGAGCACCATTACTCGTAGCGAAGCTTAGCCAAGAGATCTTTTTTACGTAAAAAAATGTCGTAAATGTATATTTATACTCAGTAGTTTTATGCAGGTACGGACGAACAATTATTACTCTTCAAACCAGTTAAAAAATATGTAGGTGACGCACTCTACAAGTATAGGAGTCATATTGACACATCAAAATCAAATTTCTCATGTCAAAAAACTCCCAGACACCAATTTTCATCCAAATATTGACGTTACTTCATAAATTATTTGGAAAAAATCAAAATAAATTTAAATTTTTACACCCTGTATCTCCGAAACTAAGCATTTTAGGACATACATTTATACGAATTTTTTCACTTATTTTTATCTGCAGAATATGCTGCCGAAGTTTCTGGAATACAATTCGGACCACCCTGTATATCTAGTTATACCTGAATAATAACTTCAGAGGTCAAATTTCAGATTAGTGGTCGATGGAATAACTTTATTGTGTAAGTATACATATACGAGCATTAGTATCTCGGAAACAGTAATATATAGATGCGAAGATGGTTAAATTGGAGCAAAGTTGCTCCTTGGGATGTTCACCAAGATGCCATCAAAAAAGTTTTAAAAATTCCAAGGATTGCTGAGTTTTTTAGAAACAACGGATTTTTTTGAAAATTAATGTTATTTTTTCCTGTTGTTACCTTTGCGAAAATCAAAAACTAATTGCACATTTTCATAGCCACTTTATTAGGGCTATCTGAGAGTATTTTTAGATTTTTAAATTAGCTGATAATTTGTGAGATACAAAGTTCAATTTATTTTTTTTTAAATACGGACCTGCATTTTTTATTTGAAGTTTTGAAAGAACTCCGTCTCCTGAGTACAATGATATGCCACACTTGATACTTTTTTTTGTTTAGGGTGCTTTAACAATAACAAAACTATTTTATTATTTTTTTAAATAATTTCAAGTCCGACACTGGTTTTTTAAATTTAATCTGATTATATTCATCGCAACAATATTGATCAGCGCTGATTAACATTGAATAAGGAAAATCCAGCCAATTGAAAGATTCAAACAAATAATATATCCAGGTCAACAATTTAGAGATATTATTTTTAACTTTTTTATTGTGAATTTGAAATCTCAGTGTACGATCTAATAATATGCATAATATTAATCGTAGTTATTATAAATAAATCAACTTATACAAACTAGTTTCTAATGCTCTACATGTTCGAAAGTGTTACCCTCTTTAATGCACATGTTTTGTTCAATCTTATTTATCTCTTTGAACATAACTTGAACTGAAATGTAATAACATAACTGAAATGTAATAAATGTATTGATTTCACTTTTACAAATGACGCCATGTAATGCCCCCTTATTAGTTAGTGCATTTGATTTTCCATATTCAATGTTTTAACCCCACGTCACTGTTAAGTTTGAAAGCTTATTAATATTGTAATGATGAATAGATAAAATATTTAAAAAAAAACAGTGCCGGACTTGAAATTAGTTTAAATATAAATTATGTTCAAATATCCGAAACAAAAAAAAAATATTAAGTGTGATATATCATTGTATTCAGGAGACCGAGTTATTTCAAAACCTGAAATAAAAAAATGCAGGTCCGTATTTAAAAAAATTAAGTTAGGCTCTGTATCTCACAAATTATCAGCTAATTTGAAAATCTAAAAATACTATCAGATAACCCTAATAAAGTGGCTATGAGAATGTGCAATTAGTTTTTTAATTTTTTAAAAAGTAACGCCAGGAAAAAATAAAATTGATTTTCAAAAAAAATCCGTTTTTTTCCAAAAAACTCAGCAATCCTTGAAATTTTTAAAACTTTCTTGATGGCATCTTGGTGAAAATCCCAAAGCGCAACTTTGCCCCAATTTAACCATGTCGTATCTATTACGGTTACCGAGATACCAATGCCCGTACCTCAAATTTGTGCAGCCGGTATAAATATGTAGTCGAATATCACAGAATTATTTTCAACAACCTGTAGCATCTTTACATTAGTTTTCTTCGTTTCTATAATAGGTACTCTCTTACCTCCTACGAATTTTTAATAGTTCTCCATCAGAAACAATGAATCCGAAAGACACTGTTTAAGAGGTTGTAGGATTTTATACTAGAATGTTTGACATCGCCGCCGCCGTCTTGATGGGGCGGTTCTATGGTCGCATCATTTAGAAATTTAGAGACATTATTTTATTGCATTAAAAGAAGTTCTTATCGGCTAAACCACAAGTTTTAATTGTTGATTCAACCCCTCTTTCATGAGAAATTTTACACTTGCCTTAGCCCGGCGAAAGAGGAGCACCAGGACGACCTGGGCCACCTGGTCCACCAGGAGGTTACGATACTAGGGTATTCGGTTATACAGCACCAGCCGGGCTCCCTGGGGTCAAAGGGGAACCGGGTAAACCAGGAAAAGAAGGCGCACCAGGAATACCGGTAAGTTTGTTAATATAACGCATATGTCACCTGTCTACATTTAAAATATACTAGCTTTTTCTCGCGAGTTCGTTCGCGTTAGGATGCGTTTATGTTGAAGCTGCGATAAACGATAAAAGCAGTGATAAAAGCGACGACAAGAGCTGTGCAAAATTCACTTCTATAATGTGCCGTTTATAGTGAAACTGTGATAGTAACGACGATCTCTACTTTGCAAGTAGACGTTGAGACCAAATCCATCGATTGAAAATATATTTGTTTAAAATGGGTGATTCCGAAGAGGAATTGTTTTTAGCTTCAAATGCTGTTAAATATTATATTGTTAAAACTGCAGATAAAAAACGCAAATTTTGTGCACACTCTATAAATACCAGAAGATATAAGTTTTGAGAATTTCACAATTTCAATATGTTATGATGGTTTTATTTGTTTTGTCCCACAAGGCAGATCTAATAAATATTTCACTTATTAAATAATCCGTATTCATGTCGATCACCCTTGATATAAAAGCAAAGAAAATAGCCACAAGCCAAAACAATTAGCGCTGCTCTTATCGTTGCTGAACTGCAAAGCGTGTCTCGTCAACGCATTGCTCCAATATAAACACCTACATATAAATTAATAAATTATTCCTTGCTTCGCTACTATCGCTGCTCTTATCGTTTATCACCGCTCTAACATAAACGCACCGTTACACCTCGAATTGTTCATGCATTGATTTAAATGATTGTTTATCACTTTATGGATAGAGCTAGTAGGTGAGCCTTACACACAATAATTGCACTATTTAAACAATATATTTGTAACAGTTTCAGAGCTACTCTTATTTCATATGAAAGTTTGCAATTGTCGATTTTCTGGATATTATACAGGATGAGTCTTGAAGTGCAAATATTTTCAGGGCTGGTAGATCTCGATAAAACAAACATATTTTCTCCACAGCTTTCTCTTTACAGTTTTTCAAATATCTCCAAAATAAATCTGAGTTATTTTACTAAGATTTAAAAAATATATATTTTTTTGCTTAAATTTTGAGAACCACTGGATCTTTTCTCGGTTTTGTTTCTGTTAAATGTAATCTACTACCTATCTTGCCATATTATCAAGAAATTATGGTTTTTACTAGATTAAAAAAAATCAGTATAAAATTTAAAAAAAATCCAAATTTTCAATTTTTTTGCAAAAAAAATCATAGTCATGTTTCTGGGGTCGAAATATACTACCGCTAAAAATATTTAAGACTCACCCAGTATATCCTTTAAAAAAATCGATTTTTTTTTTATTTCTGACCTATTACACATTTTTTACTTAAAACTTATAAAAGCCGTCATACCAATAATTTCAAGAGCATTTTTGTTCTTTTTAAATGTTATATTATGTATTTAAAAAATCCTAAAATTTAAAAACCGTTTTTTATTTTTTCATCCCCTCTACAGGGGTGGATGGGGAAGTGGAAACCGGCCCGGGAAAATCAGACAACCGGCCCAAATCCACGAAAACTGAAATGACGATAACGAAGAAACATATTTTTTTATTTATTAATACAAGGTGTCCCAGAAATGTCCCAAAAAAACCCAGAAACACGCATATGAGGTTTTGTTCGCAAAAAAAACTTTTGAAAATTCGGAATTTTTTGAAAAATGTTTTGGATTTTTTTTTAGTTTATAGTTAAAAACATAATTTCTTGATAATATGGCAACATAGGTTTTACAAGAAAGAAAATCCAGAAAAAATCCAGTGCATGGTTCTCAAAATTTGAGCAAAAAATTATTTTTTTGGAAATTTTCAAAGTAAAATAACTGCGTTATTTTGGATTTATTTGAAAAACAATGAAGAGAAAATATGTTTCTTTTATCGAGATCTACCACTCCTTAAAATACTTGCACTTATTTCTGGGACAACCTGTATATAAGTAAGGGTGTTTTTCGCTAGTACAAAAAAGCTCGATCTTTTGCCGATTTTTCTAAAAAATTAAATTGTCTTGATCAAAATTTTGATCAAGACCAATATTGGGTTCTAAAAGTGGAGATCGAGTTTAGGTATATATTTATATATGTATATAATAATTATAATTATTCAAAATGGGAAGCGAATTTTAAACTGCTTCAGGAACTCGGAGACTTCAGGACTACGTGAACATAAGAGCTAATGGTACGTATACATTGGCGCGCTGCGCCGCGAAAGCGCGGCGCGCGCGAACCGATTCGCCTCTATTGGTAATTATTTATTCAAAATGGGAAGCGAATTTTAAACTGCTTCAGGAACTCGGAGACTTCAGGACTACGAGAACATAAGATCTAATGGTACGTATATTATTGGCGCGCTGCGCCGCGAACGCGCGGCACGCACGCACCGATTCGCCTCTATTGGTACGTGTTTTCAAGTTGCGCAAACTGCTAGCGGCGAACCATCTCCAGTCGGTTTTTCGAGAAGTGTCTAGTCCTAGCAGTCAACTTTTAAGCTTGACCAATCAGGTTGGTTAGCGTGGTTATTTGAAGTGTGTTAATTCATTAGTGTTTGTCAAAAACTCTAACGTGATTGATCGGGCCTAATAGTTGCCTGCTAGGGCTAGACACAAGTGTTTTTCGACGCTCCGCTTTCTATGTTCGTTGTTCAATTGGGACGGCCGGTGAAGACACCGCGCGCATTTCGCGCGCCTTTATCAGTGACTATGTGTATTTTCTTTGAATAAATTCCCTTTTTTGTGTTTTTCTTTGAATATTGTTTATTAATGGAGTGTTTAAAGAGTCGCACTACTCATCTATGGGACAATCCACAGATATGGGACAATTTCAAGCCAGAGCAAAATAAAAAAAGAAACAAATAATAATTCTTAAATTCACTCGTATGATAGATCTGACCCTTAATGACCTGGTGTGCTATTCAGCAGCGATCAATTAATAATATTTTTGAAAAATTTTGACATAAAAAATTGGTCTGCCTCGGTGTTGACAACTTATCTACGGAGTTGACAACTGCTTGTGGTATTACTAGTAAACTAAATTTTATGTATATTTTATTTAAAGTAGAGTTTTATCATGAAATTTTAGTAGTTAGAATGCCTAAAATGAAATCAAATAAACGAGCAGTAAAGTAATAGTCAACACCGAGGTTGACTTCAGAGTTGACGTGCCTTCTGAGAAGTTTACCCGTAACCTATATTGCCATTAAAAATAATTCTATTTTGTGTCATGGTTTGAAAGAACAAAAACATTAAAGAAAAATATTTATTTCTATTGCATTTTAAAACTAAACAAAACATCGAAAAAAAAACAAAGAAATAATTTTTATTTAACTTACTTGCTAGGTAATATTTTGGTAATATGTAAAAATTGAAAACATCTAATAAACTTTATGGAACAACATTAAAGAGAATAAAGACGTGTATAAGTGGAAACCCAACCATGCAAGATAGACTCTAATCTAAAACTATAAATTAAATAGTCAGACATTTTCTCTGTTTCACAGACTATATAGGAACTTATAAATGAGTAACTGATGAATTTATTTAGAATAAATTTACAATTTAGAAAACATCTTTAGATAAATATTTGTACTTATTCAAAACAAGCTTTTCAAAAATATGATGACCCCTTTTATCAATAATAGGAGCATCCAATTTTTCTTCAAAATCACTTTTTTCAACAATTGCAATATCATCTACGTTGGGGAAGACAAAATATTTATTTTTAGCCATTCGTAAAAATTTTATTTCAAACGTATCGAAGCTTATAATGGCTATAACAAAACCAATATAATGTCTTAAACTTTTTTTACCACTGAATTTCACTATCAAATAATCATTTATATTAACATCAAAAACAGTCTCCTTTAAATAATGTGAAAGAGGTAGATTTTCTTAATAACATTTGCAATGGTCCTATACGCTTTTGCCCTGTCTTTTCTAATCTTCTTTCTTCCTAACAAGCTATTTTTAAAATTTAGTAGGCGCAAAAGCTTAATTTAAAATCAATTTCATCAACTCCGAGAACACCAGTCAACTCCGAGGCACATCTGAGACTCGGAGTTGAGTGCCTCGGAGTTGATATTTCAATCATTTTCGAATTATAAATGTTATATTATAACGATATATCTAATACAAATCTAGGTGATTATTTACTTGTTATACATATATATATATATAGAGACAATAAACTTTAAATAATTTTAAAAATTATGCTTTTAATATGAGACTCGGTGTTGATAATCATTAAACATACGCCTACCTTTTTAACCTCAGAACATTACACAAAAAATTTTGGCACTAAGAAACGTGCTCTTCCACCAGCAACTCTATATCAACTGACTGAATTGCTTCTTTTTTATAGGTGTAAAGAAGTGGGGTTCGCGCCGTTTGATGTTTTTAATGGTTTTTTTGAAGTGCCTCGGTGTTGACCACAAAGCTCGGTCACAGCTTACAGAATAACTAAAATTTCTATATGTATAGTAACTTGTTTTAAAATATTCTGAGAGTGTAAATAAAGAAAAAGTATTTATTTCTTATTACCCTTATTGACAATTATGTACAACTTAAAATTTGAGCATAATATATAATTATTGTCGTAAATACGTGGCTGGTGACAGCTTCGGAGTTGAGATTTTTGGCAAACAGTGCTAAAAAAATGGGCAATATCTTTTCTTTTCGTTTTAACAAATATGGGCCCAAATAAAACTTCCTATTATCTGTTCTAAACAATACCAAATAGTTAGGATTTCAATATCGTTTTTGAATTACAGTCCAGTTCACCGAATTGTCCCATTTCTATGGACTGCCCCCTATGGATCGCGTGTGTTAAAACCTGTGGTTAAAACAATAAAAGTAACGCGCGGACAACGCTCGGCGTGCGCGCTGCGCGGTCGCGGCGCAGCGCACCAATGTATACGTACCATAAGACGACAACGCATGTTTCTGATTCATTGTCAATTTAGCTGACTATAAGTACCGTTTTGGTACCGTATATGATCGAAAAAAAACGGTGTCCAGTTGGCTGGGAAATGAGTACCAATGACATTTGCCATATAAATTTACATATAAAATGACAGCGATCTTCATTTCATAGCCATCGCTGACGCCATTATTCGATCATATTGTATATGAAATGTGCTATGTGAACTCAAAGCGCGTTTTCTATGTTTAGTATATTGTTGTTATTTTCGAGAATTTTTAGTTTTGATAGATAAATTCATCTAAATAATAGTCGTAATCTTAAGCTGACCAATCCCGAACATCCCTCAACTAGTAGCTTTCTCAGCAATTTTTAGCTTCATTTATTTTGTACTCTATATAAAATCCAGTAACTAATATCTGTCTGTTTTACTTTCTGCCTTTACATGATTGTAATGGGAATAATTAATATTTTCAGAAGTTGATAGTATCTGCACTAAACAGTTTTATTTCTGCATAACTCAAATTATACAAATATTAGTTATTAATTATACAATTAACTATACATTACAGAATTAGGAAAATATCATATATTTTCCTAATTTTGTTATGTATGGTAGGTGTTTAAAAAGCGTAATAAATACAATAAAGATACAAAAATAAATATCTTTCAAAACACATATCTGATAAGCAACCACGAGGTTTGGTTTGGCCAGTCACGAGGTTTTATAAAAGCTGGCGCTCCTGTAAGTATGTATATGTATAAAAGAATAACTGGGTACACTTTGACCGTGTCAACCAGTGTCAATCCGAGTTAAAGCCAGGTTCACACGGTAAACTTTTGTATTATTTTTCGATGATACAGCCTGTTGGCTTTGGTAGTTTTTGGGTACTATAAACAATAAAATTAAATTAAGATTTAAACTCCTTTATTAAAATTAGTAAACAAACAAGGAATTTGCTGAACAAAATCTAAAAATGAGTATTGACGACAGAAAAATGCTACGCAAGGTAAAACAAGAATTCCTAAGAGCTTTATAAACAGATGCCATTTAATGTCTATTAGCACTATTAGTCAAGTTTTATTTAAAATATCCTTAGTATATAAAAATAAGAAAATAAACTACAGTGGAACATAATATATACAGGGTTTATTAAAATAAATAAATAAGACATACTCGTTAATTTGTTTAACAGCTTTTCTCATCATTTACGCTAGAGAAAAATATGTCAATTTTATTTTGCATTACCCAGTAAAGTGTAGCTAGAATCATACATTATGATATAAATAATATTTTAATAATCCAATTCGAATCTGTACAATATCATTAATGTATAGCCTAATGTATAAAACTAAAAAATATATCTATACATTATCAGTCAAAATTATTTAAAAACTGGCCCTAAAGTCATCTTTCGAATGAGAGGTCCATTTAGCCTAAAATTAAGACTAATCTTCTCGAATTTTGATTTAGAATACTTCTGTTTCACTGTGTCAAACTTGGAGGTCTGAGCTTTAACAATAATTCGAGCAAATTCATATGCCACACTTTTAAAATCAGAATAATGGTAGGTTGTATAATGGACCAAAGTTGGCGTCCACACCTTAGAAGCATCCATAACTTCGTTCGTGATAGCCATTGCTAAACAACATGCTGCTGCAGCTTGAATTGATGGTTTTACATGTGCAACACTATAATCCAATAATGCCAATTCCAATATGTATTTAGAAAGATTGTACTGATCACTTTTGACTTGGGCAATCTTACTGTAACGCCTTAGAAAGTAAATGGGTAAAGGCCAACTCATTCTAAAATCTAATCTTCTAACCATATCCACTTCCATCTGAAGCAGTTGTTTTCTGTTGAAAGCATTGTCAGCAATATAAACAAAATCGCTTACTTCTGGCAACTGAAGCTCTTCAATTTTGCAAGCCAGAAATAAAGCAGTACTGCCAACCAGTTGAAATATACTGCGATTCACAGCTTTATTTACCTGAAAAAAAAACTTAATGATAAAAATCAAAAATAAATATGAAAAACAAATGTTTACCTGCAGATATCTATCAATGAGTGTCACAGACAAATATAGTGTATCTAACTCCAAGCTCAAATTTAAATGAATTTCGACAAGCCAGTTAACCAAGGTAGCTCTCATTCTTGAAGTTACTTTAGCATCTTCTAAAAATTTTTCCTTGATTGGAAATTGATCTTCAAGGCTTCTTAAGTATGCCAAAATATCTTGGGTGTATTGTGTTACCATTAACGGATCATCTTTGGTTTTCTCATCAGGGTCATAAATGGTTGCGTTTTTAACATTCTGACTTTGCTTAGTCTTAATAACTTCGGGTGCTTTAGTCTGAACTTGCACTATTGATGATTTTTTCAGAATTATACTCTCCTGTCTAACTGGCTTGGTTTGGAGAACTTTCTTTTTATTTGCATCAACATTTTCCTTAGTAGATTTTAATGTAGTATCCTGTATAACATAACATACACTTCTGTTATTTCAAAATTAACCACTCTTATCATCGTTTAATAATGAAAATTATCTAAATATAAAATTGGATCTTCAAATCAACACAAACCTTTGATCAGGAGATAATTTTCATTATTAAACGGCTACTAAGGATGACCTAGTATTTAAAAAAAATGCTCCTCAGGTTTCCTAGGAATCAGTAGGTCATCCTGATATGCTTAATATTACAATCATCAAATGTCATATAAATGAATTTAAAATTCTTACCTTATTACTAGTTGCTGCAACTTTAATCTTGGTCAAATCAAAATTATTTTTGGCTGGAGGTTGAACTGGTGGTCCCATAAAGGTCTTTTCTGTTTTTTTGCCATTTCTTGTGTCTGTTAATGTGTTTCCAACATCCCCGAGTGCTCCCCTTCTTGTAGGTTGTGTTATGTTTACATGGGCTGCTTTTGCTTTGATTCTTGCATTTTCCTGATTGGAATCTATAAGGGATACTGTTTGAGGCAGCCGAGAATTCATACTTATCTCTGAAAATAAATTCTACTATAATATACACGGTAAAATTATCGTTTATAATCGGTAAAATGATTATTAATCTTAAAAACCAGGGCTTTGGCATTAAAATAACAAATATAATCTAAAAACCAATGAACAAATTATACATAAATTGATGATAAAAATCCTTTGAACTCACCTCAAAAAATCTTGTAAAAGTTAATTTTTTTCACGTCAAATAATGGCAAAAACGCTATAAACAAAATGTTAAAAACGTTAAAAAATGAGATGGCCGTTACTTTATTCGAATGATATAGGTATCCTTTTCATATCCTTTTAACATATATAGCGTTTGTACATAATAAACAGAGAGAGAAAACTGAAATTTCAACAGCCAACGACCATCTGTTTTGACATAGTTTTGACATTAGACATGCGTATTTAAAAAAAAAAGATAAGCGCTGGCTGTCATCCATATGGAGGGAAATTTAAAATGTGGCATACACTGCTACACATAATAATAAAGATGAACATGCAGCTATAATTTTAATTATTCTTAAATTAATTCTAAATACAAATGGTAATATTACAAAGTTTTTTTTTACTTTACAGGGCACCACGGTATCTGAAGAGCACATTAAAAATATATGTGCTGCTGTTATAAGGGGTAAATAAATTATATTATAAAGGTCTGCAAATATAATTTTATTTTTTTGTGGCATTTTTCAGAACAACTTACTGAATTATCTGCTAGCCTTATAGGCCCACCGGGTCGCCCTGGGCCACCGGGACCTTCTACTCAAGGAAAACCTGGATATCCGGGACCACAAGGACCTCCAGGTTATTATTTAAATACTATTGATTGAAAAGATTTATACCTCTTCTATAATATAGGTAAACCTGGATTTAATGGATCACCTGGAGACAGAGGTTTCCCAGGATTACCAGGTGCCGCAGGACCACCAGGTTCTGTAGGTGCCCGAGGTGAAAAAGGTGAGAGAGGAGATAGAGGTCCAGAAGGAATTGGAATACCTGGACCAACAGGGCCACGAGGTCCAGAAGGTAGAATATTTAAAAACTTTGTTTAGGGTTAATATTCTTATATATTATACTGTAATTTAATAGGTGCACCCGGAAGTCCAGGAGAAGGATTACCAGGACGAGCAGGAGAAAGAGGAGAACCAGGGCATCCAGGTCAGTTATTTGATTTTTTTGTTATTATCATCGAAATTAACTTAAGACAGTTCTTCGCAATTTCATATATTATATTATATGGTTTCATTTACAGGTTATGCAGGTCCTCCAGGATTACCTGGTCCTCAAGGTACTCCAGGATATTGTGAATTTTGTAACAACTATGCCCAAAATTACCAACAAATGTATGCAGCTTACCTTTTAGCAAGAAACGCGGGAAATGAAAAGGGATAATAAAGCATATAGGAGAACGTAAAATTTTATTTTGAATGCATTTAAAAATTATTAACATACAAAGATTATATGTATTTTTTCTAATAAATATGTTCCTTCCATCCATAAATAAAATTGATTTGTCCCCAGCACTTTTGTCGAATAGTGTAGCACTGGAGCACACGATACACGATCGATTCCTTTTGGTATATAGGGTTGCCTAAACCTGTTATATCCATTTTTCAGATGAAATGTTTTGGGAAAGAAAATTATCCTGAATTCCTGACATTTCTTTGACAATTTCAGTATAAAGAAAATGGCGAAGGGTAATTTTCTTCCCATTTAAAAGTAAATTAGACGAAGTTTAATGTTTAGTGATCGTTCTGACCTAATTTTACTCAAATAACATAGCCTTTGGTAAGTTAAATCTTCTTTAATTTATTAGAATGTAATTACTGGCTAGATAAATGAGGTATGATTAAATTTGATATGGAAAATGTTTGAAATTCTTATTGAACCTTGGGAAATTGATTATTTTAAATGTTATGATTATTGTAATTATAGTAAGTTTGCTTTATTTAACTAAGTATTTTGATGTTGCAGAGATGCAGGGTCAAGAAGGCATTCCTGGGTCTTCGGATCATAGACTAGCACTCATTCATGAAATGAGTGCCCACAATTTTGACCTGATTAGGTTTGCCTCATATAGGACAGCCACTAAACTTAGATTTATCCAGAAAAAAGTTAGCTGTAAGTAAATTGACCTATAGTATTTTCTGTTACAATTTTTATTAAAGGTCAATTGTTTGAACTATTGACCAATATTTAATTAATTTTATCATCTACAGTAAGTATTCCTACCAACATTTTTTTAGTGCATGCTGTTGATATATGGAATGTAATTGAAGCATTTAGAGAACAAGGGTTACATGCCTTGGAACCTTCTTCTGAACTGAGTGTGGCAAGACTAGAGACACTTCTTTGCTCTCTATATCATAGTTTAAATAAAAGGGCACCGCCAACACAGCAAGCTCATGTTGACGTATGTTCCAGTCTCTTACTTAATTGGCTTTTAGCTGCTTACGCTACTGTGTAAGTATTTTTCTGTGATATCAATTATAGCAGTTTTAAAAGTGATGTTAAATTTTAGTGATAACGTAGGAAAAATAAGAGTATTTTCTATTAAAATTGCTTTAGCCACATTATGTGCTGGGAAATTAATGGATAAATTAAGATGTAAGTTTTTACAGAGTTTCTCTTTTAGAAAGTTTCTAATGGCAGTATTTTTTAGATGTATTTTCTCAAATATCTGATACCAATGGTTTATTAATTCAGTGGAGATTTAATGAATATTTACAAGAAGTTTTGGCTCTTCCTGCTGCGGTTTATGAATCTCCTACTTTCAGTTACACCGATACTCTAGCTGCTTCCATATTTAATCCTGTAAGTCAAATAATTTTATATTTGGAACTGAATAGAAGACTTCTTTATGTTGTAGAATATTAAAGTTACTGTTAATGATTTTCTTGATACTATGATGTCAGATCCTGGCCCTCCATGTTTGGTGTGGCTTCCCCTTGTCCATAGAATTGCCAGTGTTGAAAATGGTACAACACAAAACACATCATTTGAGAAGTTGTATTAATTCATATTTGTTTCTAGTTATTCATCCAGTACAATGTGATGCCTGTCAAAGGGAGAATTTTTCTGGTTTCAGATACCGTTGTCAAAAATGCCCCCATTATACTCTGTGCCAGGATTGTTTTTGGAGAGGCAGAGTTTCCCCACCCCACAATCTAGACCACCAAGTGAAAGAATATGCTACTTTTGTAAGTTAATATAATGTTAGATATGTTAGAGCTTCATTTTTAATTTACTTTTCAGTCACCAACTAAAACTATTGGACAGTCTTTAAGGAAATCATTTAGATGTGTTCCAGATAAGCAGCGTAATAATCTTCCAAGATTTCCAGAGCAGCCAGAGAAAACTTTAAATTTGTCCCATATAGTGTATGTACTCCTATTATTATATCAATTCTAGTAGTTGTATGTCAAGTAGAAGTATCAGAAATAATATACAGGGTGGTCCGAACTGTATTCCAGAAACTTGCCAGCATATTCTGGAGATGAAAATAAGTAAAAAAGTTCATATAAATGTATGTCTTAAAATGACTTTTGGAGATAAAGAGTGTAGAAGTTACATTTTTATTTTGATTTTTTCCAAATAATTTCTGAAGTAACGTCAATATTTGGATGAAAATTGGTGTCTAGGAATTTTTTGACATGAGATTTTATTTTGATGTCAATATGACTCCTCGTAGAGGGCGCCACACCTACATATATTTTAACTGGTTTGAAGAGTAATAACTTTTTTTCTTAATAACGTTTATGACGTTTTTTACTTACAAAAAGTATCTTGGTAAAAATCGTAATGAGTAATGGTTTTCGAGATATTTGGAATCGAAATTATCAGTACCTGTCATCATTGACATAAATTAAACATGTTGACTAAATAGTTACTAGACTTTAATCATAAATTTGAAATGTTTTTGTGCCAAAAGTTCAACAGAAACATGATTTTTTCAAAGAAAAATTTATTATTAATGTTACGTTTTCGTCGGTTCTGTGTGGATTATTAATTTAAAGAAATAAACGTTTTCCAAATTTATCATTTCAGTCAAATACCTATCCATTTAACATGCTCATTTTTTGTCAATAATGACATAATATATCGACTATTTCCATTCTAAATATCTTGAGAACGATTGCTAGTACAGATTTTTACTAAGAGAGACTACATTTTTTACATAAAAAATAACGTAAATGTATATTTTTTCACTCAGTAGTTTTATATAGGTATGGACGAAATGTTATTACCCTTCAAAACAGTTAAAACACATGTAGGTGGCGCCCCCTACAGATAGGAATCATATTTGCTGTCCTCCTTTCACGCAGTTGAGCAGCTCTGAACTGTTCAAGAACGCGATACTCTCACTCCATTCAATTGAGTCATAAAGTTCCAGAACTGTTCCGCGCCATATGGAGGCACCAGGCTATCGCGCACAGCTCCTTTCAGAACCGTTCTCGAGTAGCCCCAGGACGTAAATCCCAGAACTCGAAGTTCGCGAATGGAGGACAGCGATTGTTATAAAAATTAAATTTCTCATGTCAAAAAGCTCCCAGACACCAATTTTCATCCAAATGTTGACATTTTCAAAAATTATTTGGAAAAAGTCGAAATAAAAATGAAACTTCTACACCCTGTATCTCCAAAACTAAGCATTTTTCCATTATACATTTTATATTTATTTTTTTAGGACATACATTTATATGAACTTTTTTACTTATTTGTATCTGCAGAATATGCTGCCGAAGTTTCTGGAATACAGTTCGGACCACCCCATATAAATAAAAATTAAAGATTCAAATTATTGATTAATATCACTGAATTCATTTTTATGAGTTATGACCTCTTGTCTTAGCATGGTATTGTATTACCTCAAATGTTAGAAAAATTGTTGTTAGGTTAGATATTTACTTTAATGCAATTTTTAGTCCTCCCTCTCCAATTCCATCTCATAATGGATTTCCAGATGGTCAGTATACCGGTGGATTTGATGGAATGGGTAGCTTAGATAGCAGATCCACAGCTAGAAGGTAGCAAATATCTAAATATATGTAATATATTAATTAAAAAGTATATTTGTAGTCTGGACAGTGCCAGAGATGATGAACATCGACTAATAGCTAGGTATGCCGCAAAATTAGCTCAGGAAGCCAGGGGTGGAATGGTAAGTTATTATTTTAGGAGACGTTTGCATGATTTTTAATATTATTTTTTATATTATTACATGTCCTCATTTTTCCTTATATATGTGCTTTTTGTGCTGATGTTGTTCTAGCCTCGAGACGCTACCTATAGAAAAAATTCTTTATCACCAGATATCATAGGGGTAAGTATAAAATTGCTATTTTTTATTTTGGCATAAATCATTACACATGTTTTGCTTAAAGTTCTTCATATTTTAATATGCTTAATCGTCAACTTAGAGAAATAAGAAATAAATAATGATAGATAATGCTCCTTAATTTCATGATTTTCAATTGTCAGTTAAACCAGAGACATTTATTTTTACAATTTATTTTAAAATTTTCATTGTTATTTGGTTAGTAACATTCTTAATAGTAATCAGAATACTAGATAAAGTAAGAATAAGTGAAATGAATACCAAGTTTTGTGCTTTTTACTGTACGTTGTTTATTCTGTTATAATCTAATATTTACTAGAGATTTAAAATTTGTTTACAATTTAAATTCAAATATTTTTATTTATGAAAATATAATATGATACTTTAATATAAAAAATCTTTTGATAAGCTACTAGATCTTAATTTTTACTGCATTTTATTCAGAGTGAACGTTAGTCAAACCATCTAGAAAGATTTTTATCTAATATTTTTGAATTCAAATATTATATTTTGTTTATTTTGAGAGAGCCATGAATTTAGTTTGTTCTGCTGACGAAAAGTTCATGTAATTTGTTTTAACATTAATATTATGATCCCGTTTAAACTGTTCATGTAAGTCATCTTTAAACCTACTGACAAACTCACACACAAGACATTTTTTTCTAATACTTTATACAGGGATATTGGTATTATTTAAACCATGCATCACCTAAAAAGTTATATGATTATCCCTCAATCAAGGATATTAAGATCAAATATTCCATTCTTAAAGAAGACAAGGAAAGACACAGTCAAAGTCTATACACCATCATTACTAATATCCTGGATGACAGCGCTTACACTTGACTCTGCCGCACTTCTTTGATAATTTGGTCAATTACCTTGTGCCACTTGTGCATTGTGATTTTAAATACCATGCTAAACTCTTCACTATGCACTAAAAATTACAAAATTCGCAGGTAAATGCATATACTTTAGTTTTTAAAGGTGCTATTTCCTCTATCCAATTCAAAATTTATTTTCAATTGCTATTAGAAATACTGGTATTCATTTCACTTATTTATTGACTAAATAAGTTATATGGTGAATGTGATCGATGTTCATTTCTAAGATCTTATGGTATATGTCTTGTATATGTAAACCGTTAATAAAATAAGGCAACATTGTTGGGTATGGGAGTTGACTAGAGGGACGTAGAAGCTAGTTGCTCCTTCAGTTATACTGCTTATTTTTCTTAGCTTGTGAAAGATGGCTAATTCACACTATTTTTATATTGTTTTATATCCTTTTAAATTTTAATATATCTAAATAGACTCGATAAGTTTGTGATTTGTCTTTTAGGGAAGAGTTCCATCTGAAGCTTGCCTAGGCATGGACTCGACCAGAGCTCAGAGGGAACTTATCAATCAACTCGAATCGAAAAACAGAGAAATTATGAGAGAAATAGCCAGGTTAAGGTAATGTTTTTAATTGACTGGTTATTTTAATTTAACAAAGACATTGTTTAGAAGACAACAGGAACTAGAATCGAGCGGCCACAGTGCTGACAACCCGGTATTGATGAGCGAGTTGCGAGCACTGCGCATGCGTAAAGATGAGCTGGAAACGCATTTGATAACGTTGCAGGATTCTCGTCGCCAGCTTATGATTCAGCTTGAAGGACTCATGAAAATGTTAAAGGTAAAGATTTATTGGTCATAATAACGATTTTTTTAATTTTTTTTGTATTTAATTAAATTATCACACTGTTTTCGTATTGATAAAATAAACACGGAAGTGGCGTTACAAGATAACCTTTTTGATATTTTTTTGTATTAAAAAAATATACTAATATCGTTGATTGAAAGAATTGGGAAGATGCGCAACCATAGACAAGAGATATACTAATAGACCGGCAACTCCCATTACACGCCCGGTGCAATGAACAGCGCTTCTGGTTATTGTAGTGAAACTATAGGGGAAGAGAGGGGAAAGGGAATAGGGAATTTTAAATTTTAATTATTTATTATTTTAGTTAAGATCAATTGTTAAAGAAATTTTGACTATATTTAAAAATATACCCGAAATATCCTTTAACAATTGAACTAAACTGTTTAAATATGGAAGTTAATAACACATACTAATTGAAAAAAAATTATTGTCATATTAAATATCAACATTATACAAAAATAAGCTTAGTAATTAAAAAAAAAATATTCATATAAATGCCTATAAATAGAATCATAAATACTCTTAAAATCTATATTATAAAAGTAACAGTACATAAAAACATTAAATTAATGATTTGGTTAGGTTAGGTTAAAAAATTATGTAAATACAAACCTAAATGTTACAAATCTAAATTAGATCGTGAGACAAACGAATAATCAAACAAAATTGTCGGGCTACAAAGAGTATAAACAGAAAAAAACTCTTGCAAAAAAAAACAAATTAATAATTTTGATCCTTCATCTGTCAAATTTTTTTAAAAATTTTTGATATGTCATGAATTTTTTTCTGGCATATTTTTTAATAGGATCTGCTGTAGTTAAACTGCTACAGCCCCGAATACAACAAGAACACCATAATAAATCAGTTTAAACAATAACAAAAGTACCTACACAAACATTTTCGAAAACACGGCGAACCTTTCAGTGACAAACAAACACATACCATGAAGGTTGACGCACAACTGAACTGACTCGACCGTTCAAATTTAAACGATTGGCCGCCTTGCCGCTACGTCAGCGACAACAGCGCAGCCCTGGCGATCGTAGTTGAAAATATTTTCAGTGAACTGTCATATACATAAGAGATAACCGGCCATGTGCGCAACCTAGTGGGCTAATTCGTAAAAAGGCTGATTTGATTTTCCCTTACATCTCAAGTGCTGTATGATGGAGACACCAATCCTTCTGCGGCCAACACATAAAACACTTATTTTCTCTAATTTGGCTAGCGAATGCCTATCGAAGACCACTCACTCTGTCGATTGAAAGCAGAACTACGGTACAGTATTCTTTATTTGCTGCGCTGTAAACGACTATCAGCGCGCAGCGGCGCAAAGCTAAACTAAATCTTGGACAGGTTGACGGTAACGCCAGCTACATTTCCGACAGGTTTTGTGCCACGAAATCACCCATAAGATTGCGCATCTTCTTATTTCTTTAATCAACGCTAATAGATAAAAAAATGCTCTGGTTTATGTATAACTAATTATTTAGCATGAGTTTGTTCTGGGAGTTCTCACTGATGGATCGCTACGGGACTTGCATCGCGAGTCTTTCAAAAATTTAAATTTCTAATTAAGTGGAAAAAAACGGTAAACTAATAAGAATTATTAATCTAATAAGTTGCCGTTCTTGCGATTGTCCCACTTAATAGAATTTCAAATTTTTGAAAGACCCGCGATGCAATTCTCGTAGCCATCTATCAGTGATCTCCCAGAACTACCTCACGCTGAATAACTAGTTAATATACATGTAAACAAGGCTAATACCAAAAAAACCAAAGCAATTGAAACTAAGTCGTGTAACTCCGTGTCGACTGGATAATCAGTGTATACAGGGTGCTACAAATTCGAGGTACGAGCATTACCAAAAAAACCAAAGCAATTGAAACTAAGTCGTGTAACTCCGTGTCGACTGGATAATCAGTGTATACAGGGTGCTACAAATTCGAGGTACGAGCATTGGTATCTCGGAAACCGTAAGAGATAAGAAGATGGTTAAATTGGGACAAAGCTGCGCTTTGAGATGTTCACCAAGATGCCATCAAAAAAGTTTTAAAAATTTCAAGGATTGCTGAGTTTTTTGGAAAAAACGGACTTTTTTGAAAATCAATTTTATTTTTTCCTGGCGTTACTTTTTAGAAAATCGAAAAACTAATTACACATTCTCATGGCTACTTTATTAGGGCTATCTGATAGTGTTTTTGGATTTTTAAATCAGCTGATAATTTATGAGATACAGAGGCCAACTTAATTTTTTTAAATACGGACCTGCATTTTTTATTTGAAGTTTTGAAAGAAGTCTATCTGAGTACAATGATATGCCACACTTGATACTTTTTTTGTTTTAGGTACCTTAACAATAACAAAACTATTTAATTATTATTTAAATAATTTCAAGTCCCACTCTGGTGTTTTAAATTATTTAATCTGATTATATTCATCGCAACAATATGAATCAGCGCTAATTAACATTGAATCGAGTCAATTGAAAGATTCAAACAAATAATACCCAGGTCAGCAATTTAAAAATATTATTTATAACTTTTTTTATTGTGATTTTGAAATCTCGGTGTATGATCTAATAAATAATATGCATAATATTAATTGTAGTTATTATAAATAAATCAACTTCTACAAACTAGTTCCTAAAACTAGTAATGCTCTACATGTTCGAAAGTGTTACCACCGTCCCTATAATACACAAATTAATGTATTTTTCGTTCAATCTTATTTATAGCTCTTCGAACATATCTTCTTCTTATACTTCCGAATGCATTCTGTACTCTATATTGTAATGTTGAAATGTCTTGTCACTTTTAAAAATGACGTCAAGTAATGCGCAATAATTTTATATTATTTTTTATTATTTAATTGCATTTGATTATCCGTATTCGATGTTTTACTCCACGTCATTGTTAAGTTTGAAAGCTTACCAATATTGTAACAATGAATAGATTAAATATTTAAAAAAAAGAGCCGGACTTGAAATTAGTTTAATTAAATTGTGTTCAAATGTCCGATACAAAAAAATATATTAATTGTGGCATATGATTGTACTCAGGATATCGAATTCTTTCAAAATCTGAAATAAAAAATCCAGGTCCGTATTTAAAAAAATTAAGTTGCCCTCTGTATCTCACAAATTATCAGCTAATTTGAAAATCTAAAAATACTATCAGATAGCCCTAATAAAGTAGCCACAGAATTTCTTTTTTTTTAGAAAATCAAAAAACTAATTACACAGAATGTGTAATTAGTTCTGTTATATTCTAAAAAGTAACGCCAGGAAAAAATAAAATTGATTTTCAAAAAAATCCGTTTTTTCCAAAAAACTCAGCAATCCTTGAAATTTTTAAAACCTTTTGATGGTATCTTGGTTGGTACCAAAACATCCTAAAGCGCAACTTTGCCCCAATTTAACCATCTTCGTATCTCTTACGGTTTCCGAGATATCAATGCTCGTACCTCGAATTTGTAGCACCCAGTATAGTCGCTAGAATAACAATATAGTCACACTAGAATAGTCACACAAGGTCGTGGTGACGTTGTATGAGAAAGAAAAACTAATTTAAAACCTTAAACACGTTTACCATATGACTGAAATTTATATGAGTCATTCTTGGATATGAATTAAAAAAATAGCATCCCTTAAATTACCAACTTAAAAAGAAAAAAAAATCAAAAAATATTTAAAACTAGTTATGGGAACTATCGAAACATTTGATAGTTGCAATTACTTTGAATTAATCAATAGCAACTAATCATTTTAGCTTATTACATATTTTTTTAAATTCTATAATTTGTTAGTTTTTACATTAATATTAAGATATTGTTTTTGTGTTAGGAATTAATCAATGGCTGCAATAACGGTTTTTTTATTTATCCTTTCTTAGTCTTTTTTTTCATTGCTTAATATATTGCTTTTCTGATTTGTTTTGAAATTTTGGTCATACACTGTATAATATAATAATATTGTTTAACTTTAATTTATGATTTAATAGTCTATTTGTAATATGTACATTTAGAATCATCAGTCTTCCCCAAGAAGTACCCCCAATTCCTCTCCTCGAAGCACGAAATCTCCTCCGTTGCCTCCAGGAGTCGCCCCATCTACTCAAACAAATCCCAGGAGCGCACCGCAGACTCCAATGGGCATGCCACCGTCTTCCAGTTCTTCCATGACCAATTCCATGCCACCCATGAGCGTTGAGAGGGAAAAATTGGACAGAGAAAGGTATTAATACTGGTTGTCAATATTTTTATACCATAAATTAAAAATTACCTCACTATACAGAAGCAAGATGAGATATTTTTTTGTGGGCTAAACTTTAAGTGAGTTTAATTGTCGTATGTTAATTGTCGCGCTTGTCAAATTTAGATTAGTTGGTTGTTAATATCAAGGATGGAATTGTGAAAAAACGTTATACAGGGTGTCCCATGATTCCGTAGACATAGTTCTACGTATTTTTGGAATCAAAATAAGTTTATTGATTTAATTTAATAAGTTTATTGATTATACAATTTACCTCTATACAAATATGCTTCGTTTGTCCGTTAGAGATCATTGAACTTTAAAACAATAAACACATTTTTGAACATATTTTAAGGAATTTTTGGAATCAAAATAAGTTTATTGATTATACAATTTACCTCTATACAAATATGCTTCGTTTGTCCGTTAGAGATCATTGAACTTTAAAACAATAAACACATTTTTGAACATATTTTAAGAACCGCCACTCCGATTTGAATGAGATTTGGGGTGCCTATGTTTTGCTAAATGCTTTAACATTTGACTTTTATAAAAATCAAGAAAAAGTACGAAAAAGGTGAAAAGTACACTCCTACGTAAATTTTGGTAATATAACTATTTTCCAACTCTACCAACGACCGATTTTTTTCCCGGAGAATGGTCCTTATGGTATTTACTACATTTTTGTCTCTTGCAAAAACGCCATTTCGCATACTTTTTGAGAATTTTTTTTTCCAAAGCTGACTTCCAAAAAATGTTTCTTGTCACGTCAAGCTATGTAGTCGCATAAAATCTATTATGCGCTAATAATTTAGTTGACGAAAATATGGAATTTTATTTACTAATTGGACAATAAGCTACAAAAACGCTAATAAATTTTGAATTAATTAACGTTCAGGTTTATTTTTGATTGATGCCCTCTAACAGACAACCGTATGGGGGTAATTTGTATGCATCAAGATAAGTATTTTGATTCAAGTAATACATAGTTAGTAACTCCCTGCTCCCTTTATATTTTGTTAAAATTTAAAAAAAAACTTCTTCAAAAACGTTTTTCTCGAAAACTATGCGATGTAGCGTTTTTTTTTTAATATAGACGGGGGGGGATTAAAAAAGGGACTTTATTCAACCTCCTCTGGAGCAAGTCCTGCAGTCGAAGATATCTCCGTGCTTCTGCTCCGCTAAGACCTACTCTCAGAGGATCGTCTAGCCCGCCTTGTTGACCCAAGCCGGGTAGACGAAACGGTAGCTTGTGTCGCTTATTGGGTCTTGAGGTAGGCTCCCAACCCTTGCTGGAGAAGGTGGTAGCTTGTGTGCCACTTGTGCAGTCAAGTGTCAGCCGCCCCTCTTGTAGTTTCCTTTGGATTTGGTCCCTTTGAACTTTCATTGGCAATGTTCCCAGTGTCGCTAGGGGGCTTCCCCACAGCTTTACCGGTGATGTTTTTAATACTAGATCTCATAGTGTTCCCACGAGTCGCTAGGGATAATCGGTCCACTTCTACAGAGCCCCGCATGTAGAAGTAAGGGATAAATACAATGGGGTGCCCCCTAGTGCCCCAAGGTTCAGACCAGTAAAGGATAGTCTTCTATTATATGTCTTGCTGCAATTCCCTGGCCACGACACTACAGCCAGAGACAAGACAGTGAGATGCTTCTTAGACCGAGCTAAAATGCTAGAGGAGATTCCTCCAGCACCTGACAAGGAGCTTCCCCACCAACGACAAGGTCTTGCATCTCCTAGGGGAAGAAATTGGACATTGATATTAAAAAATAACAGTATCAGTAACAGTTTGATCTAATAATCACGGTATCGCTCATCCCTAGTAGCAAAGTTGTGTTGTGTAGCAACAATTTTGTGTCTAAACGACGCGACGGCGATGCACGTTACTAATTTTGCAACAAAATCTGGGATAAATCGAATTCAAGCAGGATAAAGTGTAAAATTTATTGCTGGCTAATTTTGTTTTGGAAATATGGTGTTGGAAAATATTTGTTGTTGAAAAATCCACTATTTTCGATATAAGTACAGTACGCGGTCTTGTCACAAGTCTGAGCGCACCTTTAGACCCGTATTTATAGTCGCCCCTCGAAACCGGGTCTCAGAAAGGACCGACAAAAGCAGGATTACTAACAGGCTTACGTTTCGTCGCCCGTATACACGCGCCTAGTATGGCTGTTATTTTTGTCGGTCCTTTCTGAGACCCAGTTTCGAGACGCGACGATAAATACGGACCTTAGGTATTTTGTGCCAATATTAAGCAGTTTTGAATTTTGCAGAGATCGGCGTGATATGCCTTTGGGTTTGGTGCAGCCTTTGGGTGGCATGGTTGGTAGGAACGATGCTGTAGTTATGATGCAGCAGCAGCAGCAGCAGGAGAGGAACGATAGGGAGATAAATAGGCATAATGTTAATAATGACGCGTCATTGATTGGAGTGGGCGGAGATGTGAGAAATGCATTTGGAGGTGGGCCAGGAATGAGTAAGTATATTTTAAAATTACTTTTAGTAATTCACAACTTTCTGAATTTATAAAACGGGTGTTCGTCGTTATGGGGAATATTACTATTCCTTCTCAGGTCCTATAAGATTCTAAAATAAAAATAATAAACATTTTTTATTTGTGCGGGAAATTAATAATAATCACTGATATTAGAAATCACGGTGTGAGTTGTCACATGGTTGTCACGATAGCTTGTTAAAATAAACAATAGTGTACAATCACAATTAAACAAGGAAAGCAGCACAGTTTTATTTACAGCCATGTACTGTTGATATTATGATATTACTGACTTTAAAATTTTCAGTATCTACGTTTACTTCCCTCTTCCATTTGTTTATTTTTCTCTCAGTTCTCTTGCTTTTGCTATTTCTGTAGCTTCTTTAAGTTCTTATAGAGTACTAATGTTAAAATAAATAGTCTTTGTTATCGTGACTTCCTGACAACATTTTAGCTTTCTTTAGACACTTACCAGCACGAAAAACGGACACCTTAAACTTAAAATTTTCATGTATTTTAAAGTTTCATATATTGCAGGGTTGGCATGATTTAAATCATGATTTAAATCGTGATTTTAATCAAGTGATTTTTTGGTTAAGTATGTATATAGCGAGGTATTTAGGACAAAAGAAGAAATCCGAGAAAAATTTACATTATTTTATACAGGGATTTTTTATGGCACGGCCAACATTGCAATATTATAATGCTATATCTCAATTTTTTTAAATGCAATACACACTGTATATTATTTTTAGTATTTTAGATACCTACAGACTTAAAAAGCGCATATTTTTGTATTTAAAATATTTCTAAATTTTTAGCAGTTGCCTGAAGCCTTATGTAATATAATTCGCAGTATTATACCGTATGATCGAATAAAAACGGCGTCAGCGATGGCTATGAAATGAAGGTCATTGTCATTTTATATGTAAAATTATATGGAAAATGTCATCGATCGTCATTTTCAAGCCAACTGGACGCCGTTTTTTTTTTTCGATCATACGGTACCTATTACATAGGGCTATTGCAACAGTAAATTTTTATCAAAGCGACTTCAGGATATTTTGTCTTATATTTTACTCTGTATGGTAAAATTTTGTTTTTCTACCCATCCTATAAAAATAAAACAAAATGAAATCTCTGTAACAGGTTACTTTACTTTTTTTGACTATCTACGAGTACACAATTTATCTAGAAATGATTCGAATTAGAAAAACTTTACCTGGGGAAGTCCTCTGATGATGCATGGTCCCTCTAAATCATCATATCAATCAACAAGTCACTGCCCACTTTTTAGGTATTTACTTAATACGTTGTAATCAGTAAGACGAGTAATTAAACATGCAATTCACATTAAAAAACGTATATATTAATCAATTAGAGACAAAACAGTGCAATAACCGGCAGAGTTAATTCAAACTGTGATTCAAACTAATACAAATTCCCAAATAATGCAATTCTGCATTTTCAGCCTGTCGCCTAAAATCTCTCAGGCTGATCGGGAAGCGATACATATTTTTAACGAACGGCTTTTAAAATTTAAATTTACATTTGAGGCTCGCATCAATACGGTCTTTTTACGCGCTACTACTCCATACATTTTATCTCTCTTCAACTAAAGGTTTTGCCTATGCTTTTTCTTTTCATTCTATAGATTTAAGATTCCAGTGAACGCTGTCGCTCCGTCAATGCGATATACCACAATACGTTAGACAAGGAAAGGCGAGAGGCAAACCTCTGCACATATACTTCTTAAAGAACAAATGAGATGGATATATATATCGTCGAGCTTGTCGCATATTGGAAAGGAAGCGCGTTTAAAGGAATACCATCGACGTAATTTATTGTAGAATGACGGATAAAAAATACAATTATTATTGATGCAAATAGGGAAAAAAATATAAAATTGTGATTAAAGATGTATCGATTAATACGTGTAATTCTTCAAATGTATTGGTGAGGCACTGCCTCATCTGCCTCATTGGACAAGCCGCCCCTGCATGTGATTTAAATCAAAAAATCAACTTTTTTAAAACTTTACAATAAATCGAAATATAACTATAAAAGTTATAAAAATGTGTCCTAGAAAACTATAAAAATATTTCTATAACATATATACCCTATATCTATTCCTTAAATGAAATGTTACACTTACTATTGTAACGTTTAAATACGTTTAAAAAATCGAAAAAAAATTGTAAATGTTATAAAACTATATAAAAATGATTTGTATAACACCTATTACATATCTATTCATCAATTAAAATGTTGGACCGATTTTTGAAGTAATTTCGTATGAATCCATTAGACTTCTAAAGGGCAGGGATTTATTTTGAAATTTATGTACAAGTGTACATGATTCCATTCGCAACCTCTAGTGCAGAAAAAGGTTCTTTTGATGTTAGACTATATCTTCAAATCGTTGTCAGAAAATATACTGTTTTATATCTTTTTATTTTACACTTTGACAATAGATAATACTAATTTCATTCTCGACTTAAGATTATTTCCGAACAATAATGTATTGTGTAAGGAGTAAAAATTTTCTTTTTTTGACGAGGTTGTACGTTTGACGGACTATATAGCGTAAACAGGGACGCACAAAAGTACATTTTTTCTCCGAGTAGAATATACTATATTTTTACAAATTAAATAAACATTACAAATAATTTTTTAATCAATTTCAAACGTTGCAAATAATATAAAAAGTAATGCCTTGTATGTAATCGAGTAACAATTTGTACACTCGTTGAAATTGACGCTTAATATCAGTTTAATAATATATTTTGGTACTTTTGTGCTTAGGCGTAAAAGTGATTTACTTTTATGCCTAGGTGTTGAAATGACAAAAATTAATACTCTTGTGGCATTTCAAAAAAATCCTTTTGATCTGAAGCGAGCGACTTTTTTTGCAGAATATATTGGTGACCGATGTCTGGGAAAATGACACGCGCCGTAGAATTGTTAATGTTGTCAGCATTGGGCAGAGTTATGACGATTTAGCCATTTAGGATAAGAATTTAATTGAAATTAAGTCCTAATTATTTGGAAGTCCGATTTAAATAATGTTTTCTATTAAAATCAAAAAAATCTGATTTTTTCCAACCTTGATATATTGTGTTCTAGAAAACTGATTTTCTAAATTATTTGACTTTTTAGTATCTCTTTCTGAATTAAAAATGAAAGTTGTCATCTGTCAATTATACGAGGGAAAACAAAATATTCATATTTTGATGAAAATTTGAAACACCCTGTGGAGTACGTTAACAAAGCAAGGAGTTTAAAAATAATTATATCACCTAGGTGTATCTTTTCTCAATAATTTGTTTTTTTATTTATCTCAATAGGATTATTTTTTTGCAGATATTCGCTTTTCAAGAAGTCACTAACATTTTTTTCGTATTTTTTACATTAAAACCATGCTTTTAGTCCTAGTCAACAGACCTATGCAGTAATGTTTATGATTTATGTAATGTTACTGTCTTTGAAAAATCATATTCTTTTTGTCTGTTGGGCAGTTACTCTAGATGATTTGGTTTTAAGTCCAACAGTTGTTTTCTACCATGATCAGTTAAAGCAGCAATAGCCAATACTTCAGAACTTAAAATCATCTCTATTAGAGTAAACGTCAATAAACAATAATAATATGACTTTTCAATGACAGTAGCATTACAAAAACAATAAACACTATTTTATGTGTGTTGATGAGAACCCAAATGAATGCTAAAATTGCTGTAAATCGTTACTGTCTTATTCAAAAGCAGATATCTCCAATAAAAATAAAGCTATTGAGATGAATCAAAAAAACAAACTATGGAAAAAAGACGTACATAGATAATAAAATGATATTTAAATTCCATGCTTTGTTAACATATTCCACAGGGTATTTTAAACTTTCACTAAAATATCAACATTTTGTTTTCCCTCGATTGATGATTGACAGATGACAACTTTCATTTTTAATTTAGAAAGAGGTACTAAAACTAAAAAGTCAAATAATTTAGCTATAAATTGCTTAAAAAATCATCAAAATCTACTAGAACAAAATATATTAAACTTTAAAATGCATAAAAGCTTTAAGGTGCCCGTTTTTCGTGAGGGTGAGTGTATACAGGATGCTACAAATTCGAAGTATGAGCATCGATATCTCGGAAACCGTAATAGATACGAAGATGGTTACATTGGGGTAAAGTTGCGCCTTGGGATGTTCACCAAGATGCCATCAAAAAAAATTTCAAGGATTTCTGAGTTTTTTTTTTAAAACGGACTTTTTTGAAAATCAATTTTATTTTTTCCTTTCGTTACTTTGTAGAAAATCAAAAAACTAATTGCACATTCTTATAGTCACCTTATTAGGGCTATCTGATATTATTTTTAGATTTTCAAATTGGCTGATAATTTGTGAAATACAAAGGCCGACTTAATTTTTTTAAATGCAGACATGCATATTTTATTTCAGGTTATGAAAGAACTTGGTCTCCTGAGTACAATGATATGCCACACTTTATACTTTTTGTTTTGTTTTGGTTTGGTTTGGTTGGAACTATATAATTATTATTTAAAATAATTTCAAATCCGACTCTGGTTTTTTAAATTATTTAATCTGATATATTCATCGCAACAATATTGATCAGCGTTAATCAATATTTGATAAGGAAAATCGAGCCAATTGAAAGATTCAAATAAATAATGTCCAGGTCAGCAACTTAAATATATTATTTTTAACTTTTTTTATTGTGAATTTGAAATATCAGTGTTCGATCTAATAATATGCATAATATTAATCGTAGTTATTATAAATAAATCAACTTCTACAAACTATTTCCTAATGCTCTACATGTTCGAAAGGGTTGCGATTGTCTTCCTATTGCACATATTTATTATTCGTTCAATTTTATTTATAGCTCTTTGAACATTTCTTCTTATTGTATTGTATTGTATTGACTAAGAGTGGGTCCCATGGGACCCTCCACTGCGGCCGCGAGGGCCTATTGTGGCTCAGTTTCTACAAGCTCTAATATAAAAGAGCGTCAAAGTTCACCCTCAAGACCCAGCCTTTTAACATAGGCCGTTATGTCTGAGGGCGATATGTCTCCTAGGTCTGATAGATCTAGCATGGGTTTGCCAAACATCTCAAACCTGGTCCTGCCCCAGCGGGGGCAGGTACACATAACGTGCTTCATTGTTTCGTCATCTTCCATACAGAGTCGGCATTCGGCGTCTTCCACCAGTCCCATCCTCTGTAGGTGAGATCTCAGCCGGCAGTGGCCCGTGTACACTGCAGTGAGCGTACGCGCTCCATTCCTACCGGCCTTTAGGAGTTCTCCTGTTCTATGTTTGGATGGCCCTGCTAGGATTTTCTTGGCATGTTCCATTCCGGGACTGTCATTCCAGTCCCGGAACGTCGCACCCCTAAAGCTACATTCGAAATCAATTCGCTGGCCGAGTGGCACTTCGACGTTAAAGTCGGCACGAAATTAACCATTCACAACAAATTTCAATTCGAATTTTGCGCATGCGTGTTTAAACGTTCTCCTGACATTTTTAGGTTAGTTGTTGGTTTTGATTTTGGAAGAGTCAAAATCCGAGACAGTTGTTAATTAAGTTTTCCTAGTTTTTATGTTTAGAAAAATGGAAACAAAAACGTCATTTATTGATGATTTTTTTCTAAAATGTGTCTCAAGCACCCAACACTTTTTCTCGCCATTAATATGGGTCGGACACCCCATTTTTTGGGTTTTGGTAAACCCCTTGGTTTTCTGTCAAGCTAATTATTGAGCTGCAACAATAATTGCCGTTTTTTTTTAACAGCAAAGCCACAAGTCCTAATAAAATAAGAATAGCGTCCTTCACCCATTTTTCTTTTAATAATTATTTACTTTTCACAGGAAAATGGCTTGTAACAACGACACAAACAAAATAATTATTAAAATTTAAATGTCAAATTTGTCATAATTGTCAAACGAAAATTCCGTGCTGAAGTGGAAGTTTGCAGCTTGCAAGCTTTCAATCCAACTTCAACTTGCACTCTGGCGTCGAATTTTGTTGTGAATGAGTACACTGAAGTACATAAGATAAGCTTGCGTGCCAAAGTACGACTCGGCCAGCGAATTGATTTAGAATGTAGCTTAACCCATTCACAGAGCCTGTCTCTTGCGAGATTTTTAGGAACGCTAAGTGTCGGTTCTGGGCCCACGAATGGCGAGCTTTCACCAATTTTGGCGAGGGAATCAGCACGTTCATTTCCCTCTAGGCCGACATGTCCCGGTATCCATATTAGCGACACTTTGTTCCTATCTCCTAATATATTGAGTAGTTTCTTACAATGAAGAATCGTCATAGACGTGCTTTTCGTTGCTTCAAGTGCTTTCAGCGCGGCTTGACTATCTGAAAATGTGCATATTGTTTTCCCGGTGTATTGCTGTTCTACCAGCAGTTGCACATAGGTTTCAATAGCATATAGCTCAGCTTGGAAAATTGTGGTGTGTTTTCCAAGACTGTAAATTGAAATATCAGTGTTCGATCTAATAATATGCATAATATTAATCGTAGTTATTTTATTATAAATCAACTATTTCCTAATGCTCTACATGTTCGAAAGGGTTACCACCCTTCCTATTGCACATATGTATTATTCGTTTAATTTTATTTATAGCTCTTTGAACATTTCTTCTTATACTTCCTATCGTAACGTTACGTTATCTTCTTATACTTATTTTAGTCGGTTCCAATGGTAATGGTACGCCAGGCTCGACGGGTCGTTCCTTAAGGAACGACTTGCTGGTTGCAGCCGACTCGGTCACAAACGCCATGTCCACCTTAGTAAGGGAATTAAACTCAGGTACGGATAGATAGATAGGTTTTCTTAAACGCGACAAGAAATTTACCCTCATAGCATTTCTTTTTCACTAAAAATTGTGGTCTAGTTAAGTTTTTACATAATTTTATGTACCATCTAATTGAAAATAAACGGCGTCCAGGTTGGCATAAAAATGCCGAACTAAAAATAACGTTGGTAATTTTGTACAGGTCTACAAATATTATAAATTGACATAAAGACGTCTCAAAAATGATTCATACATGTTTGTAACAATTTTTTATGTTAACTTTTAATAAACATAGTATAGGAATCGATCCGATAAAAGTTATTATAAATCATAATTTCAAAAGTCGTTATGACGCCGTTTTTTTTTTCGATAGTATTTTTTAAAGATTTCAAGTTTCTGGTGCTTTTTTAATATACTTATTAGTTTTACACGTTTTAAACAACCAGACATTTAGTGAATAGCATTTGAAATATATTTACGAATTATTTCCGAGTATTGTAGGTTTTCATTTATCTTTTTATTTTTTTTAAGACTGGATTTTTTTGAATCGTTTAAACATAAAAAATGTTCCTTTTAGTTTTTGCCATTTTATTCTAGTCTATTTCATTACACATTATTCCATTAAATGCTTTAATATCATAAATATAATTGCAGTAGAACTTCGAAAATTCGGACACATATCGGAACAGCTACCGCCGGATTAGTGAGAAATCCGGATTACTGTAATAATTTTTATAATGTTATTGTTTCGCATTTTTATTGTTTCCAACCTAAACTCAAAATTTAAATACATTTTTAATAAAACAAAAACGCCAAACGCTTTAAAACTTTATTGTACTTATTGTACCTACATTCATATACCGCGTGGTACATCGGAATACGGGACATAGGAAATCCCATGTAAATTTTGAAAAGGTAAAATATTATCTCCCTAGATGATTTTATGTGAAAATTGTATTAGGCTTTTTTGAAGATGTGTTAAAGTTGTATTTTCGTCTTGAATTTCGTTTTATTTGGAATAGGCATCTAAAAGTTATTTGCAAAATCTACCAAATTACTAAAATTTTATAATACGGCCCAGAGAAAGCTACAATTAAAATACCAGCAAAAGTATGATTTTGTTATTGTCAAATTTGATGTCACATTTTTTTGTTTAGAAGAATGTATGTAGTCTAGAGATGCTTATCTTTTTTTCTGAATTGGAATGATCTTCTACAAAAGAATTAGTTGAACTGAGAATAGTATTCGCGGAGTATGACTTGATTGCTGTTCATTACTCAATCAGTCTCAGGCGTGGCTCATACCACATACATCCACAATAATTTAACAAATAAAATAAATGTTTGTAGCTAAAGGAACTTTATTAAACTATATACTAATTAAAAAATGCTTACATAATCCCCCAATCACAGCCAAACAATACCCCAAATGACGAGATGTTTTTTCAGTTCATCTAAATTTCTGTATTTAATATGCACATAGAGACGGTTTTTGAGTGTTTTCCACAGGAAGAAGTAATTCTGCGAAAAATCCTGCGGTCTTTTCCTACTGTAACCCCAATAGACGGCAGTCAATGTTTTTCTTTTCTTCAACATGAGAATATTCAAGTTATTGTTGTTTTCTTCCTGTTCAATGATTTTTGTCGTCACACTTCCATGTGCTTAACACCGTGCCTTTAGTTTTAAACCTCTGCCTAGTTTAAAAACTGTTGTTTCCGGAGACTGAGCTACGAACAAATCTAACACAGCGGGAATACTATTTCCAGCAAAATGCCGTTTCACCATCGTAACTTTTTCAGAAGTTACGAAAATCTTAACTATTTTATACAAAATTGCTCTATTTAGTATCTTCAAATTTTTGTAAACAAAATGTGACATCGAATTTGACGATGACACAATCACATTTTTGCTGGTATTTTAATTGTAGCTTTCTCTAGGCGGTATTATAAATTTTACTAATTTGAAGGTAGATTTTTGCAGATAACGTTTAAATGAATGTTCCAAATAAAACGATATTCTAGACAAAAGTACAACTTTAACGCCTTTTCAAGAAAATCTAATACAACTTTTGTATAAAATTATCTGGGGAGATAATATTTGACCTTTTTAAAATTTACATGGGATTTCCTATGTCCCGTGTTCCGATGCAACACACGGTATGTATATTTATGCATCAAATAACTTAAAACAACACTTCTTGGCTAAACTCAAAAAATAATACTCTGTGATGGCTAAACTTAAAAAAATATATGTATAAGTAATATCAAAGCTTTTTTAAAAAGTTAATTAGTTTTTATCCCCATATTTTCCAATTTTTCTGCCTTCCAAACAACAGCCTTCTTTTTTAGTCCTTTCGAAAGCAAATTATCTCTAAAAGCGAAGAATGATTTTTTTCTTTGACCCAGTAAATACTTTGGGTTAATGATTTTACAGCATCGCTAAGTGTATTTTCATTCTATTTGACGTAAGTTGTTTGTCATTTCTTTACAATGCTTCATTTTTTTGTTAAGTTTATACTCTTCAATTTTTATCTGGCATACTCTTCAATCAAGCCAGAGACAAATTGTTTTTCACCTTAAGTTCATTTACATTTTTATTATTTCTTACCTAATACTTGGTATAAATCACAATATTTCCTTTTTTTTTAATATCCGAAATGTTTGAAATTTGAATTTGTGTGGCATCCAGAATAGAGGTAAAAATACCAAATTGTCCAGTTGATAAAAGACTGGAGTGTCCGATTTGGCGCCATGTCCGAATTAGAGAAGTTCTACTGTAATAAGCAAGCTATGAAATCAAATTTTAATTTAAAGAGATCAGTTTTTTAGGTATTTTATATTAATTTTTAACAACAAATTATTCATGATCATAGATTTAGGAGAATTTTTTTACGATCTGTAGTTTTATAGAGGAATGTTTTCAAATTAAAATGTCAATGATTTCATGGTCTGCTTAATATTATACCGTGCTGGCAACTGTTACTTTTGGGTCGCCATTTACATGTGTGGAAGTAAATCGCATAGGGATCTTATTAAGTCGGAGTGAGAGAAATGCGACCGACCGACGTGACGCGCGACGGTTTGCTGTTGCGGCGTTGCCGATACGCCTTTTCCTATCAAGTAAAGTAAAATCACGATCGTAAACCGCTTATTTTTAAAAGACTTTTATTTCAAGAGATAACTAGATAAAATCATTAGACATGTTTCTGAGCATCTGAAATGGAATTATAAGGATATCGTTAGGGTGTAATTTTTTTTATAACGAGAAAACGTCAGTAATCGCGATAATTTAAAAACTCAACTTTTTAACACATAACAGGCCATAACTCAAGAACCACTTTAGATATTGAAACTTTTTTTTATTTTTAAGATCGGATATTTTACAATATGTTTATATAAGAAAAATTGGATAAGGTTGTTTTTTCCATTCAAAAATTGTAAACAATCCATCCATTTACTTTTAGAGCATAGCAATTTTCAGCAATCGTGTAATTTTTTTATTGGTAAAGATTTTCACATACTGTCTACAAAGAAAATACAGCAGAAATATTAACAAAGTTTTTGAAAGAACTACAATCTATTATTTCTAATAGATTTCGAGATATCTATTTTTGAATGAGTTCTAATAGCGGGACCACTATCGAACACCCACTCAGTTCCACTTATTTTTACCAAAAATGCAAGTGTTTCTAGCCTGCACTTAAAAAAATTCAAGCTATAGGGAAAATTACAACGACTCGTTAATAAATAAACAAATTAAGTATCACGAGACGTAATTAAATCATGAAGCTGAACGCATGATGTACACCTTTCCCTAGAACTTTAAGTACTGACAGAGGTATTGATTGGGTCGACCGGTCAACTGCGACAAATCTGCTATATCCCCTTCCACGTCTCTTAGGGATGTGCACAGTTTCTCGGTTTATTTCATACGTTTGGCAACGTGTTTACTGTCCTCTCTTTGTTCAGTACATTATTAACGCATTGTACTCTTCTTACATATGGAAATCTCGACCCAAGACTAACCTTTGCCAGCCCTTAGAATACCGTGCATTAAAGCGAACATAAACGACGTTACAGTAGGCGTAGAAATGACATTTCAGTTGGCATACCTGTTTAATAGCTGAAGCTTGATTGACAATTATTTGAATTTCTTGTTATAAAATGAAACTCTAAAATAATAAAATTAGTTCCAAAAAAAACAAATAGTTTAGAAACTTTGTATATTTTTCCGTATTATAATTTGAACATTTAACAAAGTCTGTGCCAAAAACTTTATTAATGGATGTAATAAAGCTCAAACTGAAATGTCATGATTTAAGCTTAATGTGACGTGTTTTTTAATTCGACCTATTTATGATAATACCTGATAATATTAACTTTTTTATTCTATTTAATTACTATTATCATTTTTCGTCTGTTAGAAATTATAATTTCTTATTATTACTTCTAAATGTAGATATATTAGGAATCAATATTAAGCACAATAGATTTGTAATGTTAACGTTAAAATACTTTATATTCTATATATATTCTCTCATAATATGCTTTTTAACAGTATTTTTAAATCTATTTAGAATAAGCCGATGAACTTGTTATAAATACTTAGGGTTTGTGCTTAAAAGATATTTTTACTTAAATAATACAGATACATTGCATTACTGATATACTTTATATCAGCTTTCCATAGAATAAATTTATATTAAATATTAAATAATTTTTAATTAAATTATTTTTACCGGCATGTCATATAGTACGGAGACTCGAATATGTTGTGATTATTTTGTATATTTTGTATTCTATTTTTATAATAATTTTTACTGTTACTGTTAAACGTTTATCTTTAGATTGTGTTATGAACTGTATATTTATTCATTTTAAATGTTGATAATTTTATTTTATTAATAAACAATTTAGTTTGTTTTCGATGATTTATTATTTTTTTTCTTCATTTTATCTTCTCTTTGTTGAGATAGTACATGACCTATATTGTTAATAGCTTCTTTTTTAGTAAAA